ACAGAAAAACAACACAAAGAGGAGACATAGGTGGTGGTAAAAACCAAACCTTCACCAATTCACTACATTGTTCTGCTACTTCATTTTGAATGTACCAACATCATACTCTATGAGCAATAAAAATAGAAGTTATCATTGGTATCTTTCAAATAACCAGTAGAAAAAGAGCTAGAATCATTTCAGGATGACTGCATTTCTACCTGTTAAGAACATACCCTCTTACTGAAGTTTCCAAAATCATTGTTGGGTGGGTTAATCACAGCACTCACAACTGTGTATCTCTTCCCAAAACAAAATCATGCAGTTGAATTCTGAGAATTCGTTTTCTGATTGACTTATCTCCAACCCCCCCATCTCATTGTACTGGACCAAATGTCCCTGGAAGTACTGTGTACCTTGAAAATTTTACAAAGGAAACCTCATTCAAAGTGGAATCCAGATCTCAGAAGGGGAAACTCTCACACCCTACCACCTGTCATCAATTGCAAACCCAACAGGAAGAGATAGACCTTGCAAGTCCATTCCACTCTACTGCCCCACAGGAGGAAGAAAGGTTGTCGACTTCCCCCACAATAGCCCAGCCAGTAAGAGACCGTCACAACTGAGCCAATGAAAAGTCACTATACTGCAAACTCCCAGTTTAGTCCAATGGGCTTTTTGTTTATAACAGCCCTGCTCAGTGCCCGCCCCCCATAAAAGAGAATTTCTCTCCTTTGTTCTTTGTCTTGCCTATGGCTTTGCTTTAACTTGCTTCTGCTGCATTGCAATTTTCTACTATTCCCAAATAAACCCATTTTTGCTGGTAAAATAACTAGCAGCTTAATTTTTGAGGTTAACAGTACATAAAACAATTTAGAGTTTTGTGGAAACAACCTTTAAATTTAAGGAAATGAAGTAAAGAGAAGATTAAAATGCACTGACAAGCAGCAATTTGTTGAAAAGGCAATGAGTTGGTGTCTCTACTATAATTCACAGAACTCAGTGTACGTTTTTGGAGTATGCATCCTATGAATTAAACTCCCTACTTGTCATGTTGTCGCAGTAAAATTAGAGGCAAATTCCTTTGAATTTGAGTGTTTCAGGCATTTGTCTGAAGTAACTCACTAATGGGTAGGATTTTAAAAATGTGTATAATTCTCTCCAACCAAGAACAATCTTCTCACTCTCGGGCATTGGAAGATGGCTCTAAATAGCAGGTTCATTTCTTTCTATGCACCTGTGATTTTGCTCCTAAGTGGTGTGAATAGCCTGGTATCTGGTTCAAAATCAGGACTTCTCTTATCCAAATTACTCAGCTCCCATTACATTTACAGGTGAGTCAAGAAGGCATTCTCTGATGTTTGTGATACTGCCTTCTATGTAATGTTTGAAGAGAAAAGAGAGGTAATTAATTAGCTAGTAAGGTGGTAGAGAAGAAAAGGTACCTTCTCATTGTTTTAAATTTAAACAAAGGACATATCTAAAATGCTTTGTGAGGCACTCCTAGCCAGATTTTTTTTTTAAGATTTATTTATTTACTTGAGAGAGAGAGTGGGGGAAGGGGCAGAGGGAGAGAATATCCAAGCAGACTGCTGCTGAGTGTAGAGCCCAACATGGGGCTGGCTCAATCCCATGACCCACGAGATCAGGACCTGAGCTGAAACCAAGAGTCGGATGCTTGACCAACTGAACCACCCAGGCACCACTAGCTATTTCTCTCTCTCTCTCTTTTTTTTTTTTAGATATTTCTTTTCCATGTTCCTACATCAATCATATTCCTGGTTGCTGATAAGTGAATCATAATCCATAGCATCTCACATATCATATTATGGTAAGCAATGTAGACAAACATTTCTTATCACCCTCTTAAACACATACAAACACCTGTTGAGTTTAACTCTTCACAGTTCTACATTAACTAAACAGTCTACATGATGTTGACCATCAATTCTAGGTCCACATTAAGATTAGATGAGGCAAGAATCTAACCTGTTAATGACTGACAGGGAGATTTTGGTCTTTCAATTTCCCTTTGGAAAACTTGGAAGAAAATGAGGCAAATGGAAAGAAAGGGGTCTCTCCCCATGACTGTCAACCACTCTATGCAATGTATTCATTTCTCATTATTCATTTTTTACTGTGATATGGATCCAGGCAAAATGACTTTGTATTATCCCCAGGTTATTAGAAGAGTCTGATTGCTTGGAGTAAATTCCTTGGATCTAAGGAGTTTGTATCTACAATATAATTGTTTTCAACCAAGGAGGAAGTTGAGTTTCTCTGTGAAGAGCATCTTTTTTTGTTTGCTGGTTGGCTGGTTGGTTGGTTGTTTTTGTTGTTTGTTTTTTAATTTTTGTTTTTTGATTTTTTTTAATTTAAGGATGTAGAGATGCTTCTGGGGACTCATGCTGCCCATTCCAATCTCGCAGGTGGTGGTTCCAAGTGTTCTGCTCACACAGTGCACACCGGGGCTCCATGCTGGGCAGCACAAGGCAGGGCTGGGCAGGGCTAGTGCTAGATGAAGAGCATCTTTGCAGAGTCAACTCCCTGCTTTAGAGCACCTCCCATAGTTTCAGCCCATTAACCCGAGCACAACAGCTTGATGAATTAATGCTTATATAGGCACAGTTGGCAGCTTCTAATTAAATAATTATGGTTAAACGTCTGCACAGGAGCTGTTATGCACCCTAGAAAGCCAGCTGTCAGTTTTATTGGTCCTAAGACAGAGGAAGAGTTAATACTTAGCTCTGAATGTTAGGTACAAAGGGAAGTATATCAAATAAAATATATATGCTGTGCAATATGAAGTTGCATTGTGTTTGTGCTATCCTGTCCATGAGTGATGGAGAGCAAACTGCTCCTCAGCAACCTCTCAGCAACCCAACAAAGAAGGAAGCAATTAAATGATCAGCAGAGCAGAACCTGTTCAGAGCAATATAAAGAGGACATAGTGTTAGACGGATGAGTCTTTAATGAACACACAAATATCACTGAGCTAGCAGGGAAATACATGTCAGGTTCTGGGTCTCATTTAGATGAGCAAGTGATAGAAATCTAATGTGGTCCTTTTGGGGGTCAGGGGTCATGGTTGGTATGTTTTCATTTATTTGAGTAAAGTTTCTCAAGGTGCTATTTTATTAGAAATTGGAGAACAAGGTATAAATATCACAAAACTAGATTTGAACTCTTTCTAAGATACATTGTTCCAAAAGAGTTAGGAACAGATATTTGTTCTATAAAATTACAAATAATGTCAGATTCCTTCACAGAAGGCTAAAAAGCTAAAGTCTTATCTCTACACCTGAAGAAAGAAAACAGTATCTGGTGACTAAGCTCCAGCATCCAGGAAGATATAGATTATAGATCAAGGCCATCGATAGGATTGTTGGACCAAATAATGCTTGTTATTACACATCAGTATGTTCCTGAACTGATAGCTGGCTTCATTTTTCTCTGCAGGCTGTCCTTTCCACACAATCCATGCGTCCTCACTTCTAAAAATCTAATGGGTGATAGCCCAGCGCAGAACAACTCAGCTTGCCACTGGCCCCTTTACCACTGTTTGCAGCACCATCTCCACATGAAGAAACACAACTGTAGGCAAAAATCAGTCCCAGAAATTCAGTTGTCCCTTTATGTTTAAAAAAAAAAAAGAGAGAGACATTTTAATCCCCAGATTTATGGATTTGCCTTAAAATAAGAAGAGAGGAAACCAAATGCTAACATGGAAACATTTCTTATGGAATTCACTTTACCCAACTCCCGGGTCCTGTTGAAAATCCACTGTTAAACCAAGCACTAAACTTTACAGACTGATTTACTGTTCTCCCTTCAGAGATCAATGGCTTATGGTTTATTTAGAATGATGCCATTTCATAAAACAAAGCAATCTGTAGCATAAGTCATCATTTAAGCCAATGGACTGACCGCTAAGAAACGCTTACTTAAAAAGCTCCAGAACAACTGTTTCCATGCCTTTTTTTCCCCTCTGGTTTCCTTTTATGTCAGTAATTCTATCACCTCGGGTGTCTGAAGATACCTGCTTGTGACTGACAGTTCTCAAAGATCTAGTTCCTTTTGGATGGCTCTTACATAAAGTTCAGTTTAATTAAGTCTGCAGTGCAACTCAAGTCTCAGTACAAAATGCTAAAGAATCAAACAGCAGACCTGTAAAGGCCATAAAAGCGAATCTCAGACGTGGTAGGGGAGCCTGGGGGTCTTTTGTCAGCCTATGCTGCCATCTATCTAGTGCCGTCTACCTATCCGAGACCACATCCTTCTGCCCAACAGCCATTTGTGTTCTCAGAGCCCCTGATGAAAGCAAGTCTCCAGCAACTGGCTTAACAGGTCCCAAAGTTCACATCAAAGAATGGGGTGGCTGCGTGATAGACATTGGGGAGGGTATGTGCTATGGTGAGCTCTAATGAAGGGGGGGAAATCGGAGGGGGAGAAGAACCATGAGAGACTATGGACTCTGAAAAACAAACTGAGGGTTCTAGAGGGGAGGGGGGTGGGGGATGGGTGAGTCTGGTGATGGGTATTAAGGAGGGCACTTACTGCATGGAGCACTGGGTCTTATATGCAAACAATGAATCATGGAACACTACATTAAAAAATTAATTAATTAAAAAAATAAATAAAGAATGGACAGCACCACCTCATCCACTCGGAGTCTGCCAACCTCCCATGGACCAACAGCCAAGTTCCAGCCATCGTCTTCTCCTCACAGTCCCACATCTGGCAAACAGACATACGTGTCTGCCTCCAATCCCCAAGTTACCTAAACCAATATCATTTGCATAGACCTTTGAATATTCTCTGATGTTACTGATAAAACAGATAAAAGTTGCCTTAGATAAGATGTGAGACCTGATTTAGAACCTCTAATACTCTAGCTATACCTCAGGAGTTTTAAAAAATCCCAAATGGTATTCCTTAGACACTGACTGAACATGCAGACCATAAACAACTATAAAGAGAATTGATACAGATGAAAAATCAAAAGAACCCTTTGTACTTACGGTAGAAGACATATTCAGTGTAGCTTGACCAGATCTTGTCATCTGTATACTGGTTGACAAAAGATGCTGTCACTGAGGAGTTACAGGCCACCATGTGGAATCCACACTCTGACAACATATCAAAAGCCCTTTCCAGGTGCTTGAATTTGAGATAAAATCTGGAGGTGTATCTTTCTGGGGCTCGGTCAGGGTCTCTGCTCTCATTCAAAGTTTCTCCAAAGACCTCTTTTGCCAAGGAAATCCTTCCGCAAACCAAAATCCGGGGAACTCTCCGAAACTTGGCATCTGCCTGCCCCTCTCTGCCCATGGTGCAGGACCCCCTGTAGCCCACGGTAATGAAGCCCCATTTGCGGTCCGCAGGGAGCACTGAGGAAGGAGGGCAGATTCTCGTGTCGCTTCCTTGAGAGGCATCTTCAAAGTCACTGTGGCAGAATTCGTCCGGGCTTTGCTTGATTTCATCAGGGGTCAGGAGTTTGACCAAGTCTGGGAGCTGGAAGTACTCAGCTTCCCTTTTCAGTCTTCCCCTTTCTGGAAAGTGATCAGGCAGGACCACCTGCCTGTCCCTGAGATAGTCCAGAATATAACGGAACAAGAATCCATCTCTGTCAATGAAAAACCTTCCTTTAGAGTCCTTGGCTAGATCGTTAGCCGTGTCTCTCTTTGGGGAAAACATTTTCCACAAGAGGGAATGAGGGATGCTTATTAACGTGGAATGGCGGGTGAAATAAACTTGACCTCCGACATTCAGCTCCACGACCTCAGGGAAGGAATTGGGAACTGCAGCCCCCTGTTCTCGAGGATAATAACGACTACAGTTTCCACTTAAAGCCATTGTCCCTTTTTTCTTGCTCTTCTATTTTGATTTGAAGGTGCAATCCAATGAAGTCACAGACTTATCTTTTGCATCAACTTATCAAAGAGGGAGAAGGATGCTAACTTGTTAAAAATGACCTTCTCTTACCCCAGTTTTTTTTTTTTTTTCCCCCAAGGAAGCAAAATTTAGAAGAGTCCACAGGTGAAGTGATGCTGCAAAAGTAGTTTAAACCCTGGCTGGTGGTGAGCTATTACTTCATAGAATATAACCAACTCATCTCCATCCGATCTGCCCCAAGCTCAGTAGGCAAGGCAGGCCAAGTCCCCAGTTACTCAGAGGTCTGTCTGAAGGAAAAGAGAGAAAATTATTTCCTCAAACCCAGCATGAGTCAGAAAAAGAGACACCACTGGAAAGAGGAGAGGGAGGGAGGAGGAGGGAGGGAGGGAGGGAGGGAAGGAGGGAGGGAGGGAGGGAGAGATTATTTTACATAAGCAGCCCTGGAACTACTGATTTCAGCCATTCTTCAACTAAATTGTAGCTTCTCTTAAGCTATTTTGTGTCTACATGTTTATCCATATGCCTCTGTCTCCAGCAATTAGTATTAAAAATATTTCTATTGGTATTCCTGCTTTAAAAAGGAATATATGATTTTCAACTTTTAAAAGGGGATTTTTTTTTCTCCAAGCTGGGCAGGAAAAACAATAAGTCTCAGAACTTACCTTAGTGAGTGCTGGAAACCCAGTTCCTGTGAAGAAATACCCATTTGCAAAGGAATCAGAATCCACAGCCAGAGTCTGGAGCTTGTCAAATCCCAAAGAGGTAAAGGACAGAGGTATCAATGAAAAGTGCCAGAGAGATGTGCTCTTAGAAAATAATTTTATATAGATATATGTAAATATTTATATAAATGTATATTTGTATGTATGTATATAGGTATGTATTCACTCCCAATGTCAAGTTGAAACAAGTCACAGAAAAGTTAAAGCGTGATGAGAGGTGGTTGGGTTGAAGAAGAAAGGCAGAGAAAAATATCCAACCAAAGCCTCTCCAGTAAAAAGGGGAAGAAAAAAAAAATCAAACCTTTAGAAAAAATCCTTAAAACAGAAGAGAGTTGGAAGAGGTACTGAGACTTAGAAGCTTTTCAGAAAGCCCAGAAGCAGAAAGAAAGCCAGATGTGCCCTGCTGGGGTCCCAGGTAGCCACCCCACCTGCCGGCAAGGGCAAAGGGACTCCCATGTTCCCAGGCAGGTGGGAGCCGCTGGGAGCCCCGCCGCCGCAGCGCAGAGGGGCCGCGGGGGGCTCGGGCTCGGGCTTCTCCGGCGGGCGGCGGAGCTGGGTGGTTCCACAGTTTCCAGTGCAGTTCGGATGCTGTTGTTTCAGCAGTGCAGGCAAGATACCATCCAGGGAAATGACTATTACATCATCTTAAAGGAATATGGCTTGGAGAAAGCGGAGGCAGCTCCGAGTCACGTTGTCCTCGGTGACAGGTCGCCAGGACTGCACGGGGACGCGGCACACCGGCCGTGGCACGCGACTCCCTGGCTCCGGGTTTGGGGCGGGGACGCGGCGCAGCGCAGCCACTTCCCTCCGCGTCCTGCCCGCGAGTCTGGAGTTTGCCGCGGCCTTCGCGTTGCCTTTTCTTCCTGCTTCCTGCCTTTTACACCTCCACCAACGCCACCCTTCCCCAGAAATAACCCCCCACCCCAGCGCTGACAGAAACACAAGTGATTTTGCATTTGAAAAAAATCTACAAACAAACCCTTTGCACAGGCACTGAATTTCTGCTGAAGGGCAAATTTCCCCACCATATAGGCTTTTTTTATAAAAAGAAGAAAGCACACTGAATGACCCCAATGTTCAAGCTACAAAGGGGCTTTCCCTTAAAAGCAAAGGGGATTAAACCATGTGTTTTCCTTCAGATGCCCTCCCCCCCCACTTCTTCTCCATCCCTGTGCCACCCCTACCCCAGCAAATGAATAAATAAATACAGTCTCTCTGGAATTAATGACGCTCTTTCCAAAGAATACGTGAGGCAATGGTAACCTCAGAAAGCCCACAGCTGACATCAGTAAGTCATTATCTCAGCTTACCTGTAAGAAATTGTTACCTGCAACCTTTTTCTGGGGCTGTGTCTTTCCTGAGCCTCTCTTTGCACATGCCCCAGCCCCTCCCGACTCATCCCAAGAGGACTCTGGTGGAAGACACGCCCCGCTAAGAGACATTTTACTCCTGTCCCAGAGGCCTTCCTTAAGTGCATCATTAGAGTTTCAGGAAGGCATTTCCAGGGCAACCTAATCCACTAACAAAGTGCTTCCAGTTGATCCTGCCAGTCAATAATGGCCCAGCCAACAGCTTACAGTAAGTCGACCATTTCTCCTTTAAAATGCCAGTGTCTTAGGACTCACCCTCCTAATCAGAATATAGTATTTCATCTATGAATAATACATGTGAGGCACACTCCATCCCAAATAATTGATATTTTAAAAAAAAGTGAAAGCCAAAAATGGAGTTGAAAGTATGAATTAGATACATTTTAAGGGATCATGTGTTTATTGCCAACTCTTGCCCCAAGAATTAGCTTAAAGATAGACTCAGCAGCAGGATAAATTAATTTTTAGTTTAACAATCTTTTCTTTCAGTGAGTATCAGGTTACTGAACACATACGGAATATTAGCTAACACTCCAACACACCTGATTATATTTGACTTTTTTTCTTTAATGTATTAACCTGTTCTGGCCTCAATCATTGGGATTTTAAATGTTGGACCAATCAAGGGAATGTTTATTATTTGGTGCACTTATATTGCCATCTAGTGTCCATAAGCTATCAGTGCAGATCTGTAACTGACGATTTACCCCAGCCAAAAGTTAGATACTTCCTGGTTTTAAAGTTTTTATATTGGTTTAAGTAGAAGAACACTGTTCACCATGATGACAAATAAAAATTTCATTGCCACAGGATAAAGGAAAAAATAAGTCTGAGTTCATGCCTAGTAAGTACCGGGCTTAGTTGTAGTTTAAAAATAAGCAAATGTTTCATCTTATTTTTAGCAGAATGGGCCAGTACACCACGACAATAGCTTTGGAGATTGGGTATTAAAATATTCTGGGGACAGGGGAGCCTGGGTGGTTCATTCAGTTTAGCAACCAACTCTTGATCTCAGCTCAGGTTGATCTCAGGGTCATGACATCTCCACACAGGGCATGGAGCCTACTTTAAAAAAAAAAAAATATATATATATATATATTCATTCTGGGGACAGTTTGGCAGGAAGTGAGGATTGGGAATAAGAAGAACCATAGGCTTTTAAAGCTCAAAGGAACTTGAGAAATGAAAATTACCATCTCACCTTAGAGATATAGAAACTGAGGACCAGAGAGGGAAAGAACTTCCACAAGGTCACACAGCTGTGGAGTAGCAGGATGGGGTTTAGACCACTGCCTACTCAGTATGATCAGTTTTTTGAACTGCATGTATTGTAGAATAGGGATGGAGAGGAGGCAAATAAAGAGAACAAGAATTTCAAGACTACACGTTTGGGAAAAAAAACCCAGCAAGTCATTCCATTTTTTTATTTTTTTAAAGATTTTATTTATTTATTTGAGAGAGAGAGAGAGAGAGAGCACATGGGGGGGGAGGGTCAGAGGGAGAAGCAGACTCCCTGCTGAGCAGGGAGCCTGATGCAGGACTCGATCCTGAGACTCCAGGATCATGATCTGAGCCGAATACAGTCGGTTAACCAACTGAGCCACCCAGGCGCCCCAGCAAGTCATTTTAAAGAGTTTTCAATATTAAGTTAAATTCAAGTCTAAAATATTTTATAATTTAAATAAGAGGATTCTGAATTTCGAAAATGAGAAGTTTTATCTGTTCATTGGTCTGGGTTTCAAAGGTTAGGCTACTTTTTTTTTTTAAGATTACTTATTTATTTTAGAGAGAGAGAGTGCTTGCATGCATGAAGGAGAGTTGGGGGAGGGGCACGGGGAGAGAATCTTCAAGCAGACTCCCCACTGAGCCACTGGGCCTAGAGCCCAGAGCCCAAGGTGGGGCCCCAACTCAAGACTCTGAGATCATGACCTGAGCTAAAATCAAGAGTCGGTCACTTAACCTACTGAGCCACCCATGTGTCCCATAGGCATATTTACTCTTTAATCTACCTGGAGCCTCCAGAAATCAAGAGTGCATGGGCCTCTGTCACCTTTTGAGAGGTCAGAGGTTTGGCTCCAGATTGGCCTAAAGTCTATCCAAGCTGGGGTCTACGGGCCTGGGTTACCATCCTCTGATGCATACATTTTCTTGTTCCTTTAGTCTAGGGGATGCAAACAAATGAGAAGTGAGATTAAAGAAGTAACAGGCTCGAAGGAAACAAAGCAATACACCATAGAGAGAGATTTAAATAGTGCTAGAGTAAGCGCATGTGTCTCGGGGAGGTTGTCAGTAAGCCCAGCTGCTTGGTGCCTTAACAAGAGGCAAGAAGCCAACTCTAGGCTGTGAGCGTATTCCTGTCCTCTGTGTCAGCAGATAACACAGCTAGTGTTATTGTTCTTTTCTGGCAGCTCTCTGCTGAAACACTGTAGGATGCTACACTCGGCCCAAAGGCTGAACACACAGCAACAGATTTCTCTTAGGGGAAGAGAAAGGAAGAATGTTTCATCCTGTTCTTCATAATATTCAAGACTATAGCACATTTGGATACACCATGGATAGATTGTGGAGTTGATAAAATATGTCTGAGCCTCTGTTTCCTGTTCCCTACTTTCACACACCCCCATAGCTGAATGCTGAAGAGTATATTCTCAACAGGACAATTATAATTTTGGAATAATGTGTTCACTTCGCACATCCTTACCTTCTAACACATCCTTAAGTTTCCTCTCCCCTGGAGCAGAGAGAGCTTTTATGCTGACTGTCTTTGTTATCAGAGGGAATGATCTCATGAACGTAGACTAAGATGTCATATGCTCATCGTGTTACATGTCCCAAGGACTTCTGCATCATCACCGTCATCGCAATAGCTACTGTTTGTGGAGGGCCAACAAGAACTCACAATAGTCACCATCCCTCTTCCAGCTCTGCCTGATGGCTGTGTGACATCGGACGTGAGGCTCAGTGTCTCTGAGCCAGGGTAAAACGAAGGTAAGAAGAAGACCTGCCTCCTGGGTGTGTTGTGCCGATTCAATACTATGATGTGTATAAGACCCCGAGCACATTGTTTGGCCCTAGGTGTGTGCTTACCAAATACCAGCAGTCTCCATGATGGCAGCAGAAGCAACTGCATTTGTCATTGGTAAACTAAAGTGGAGGCATAAAGAAGTTATAAAAGATGAGCAAAGACAGAAATTCAGTTCTACTTCCAAAATCTTTGCTCTTCTCACTCTGCAGGTGTAGGTGAAGATCACTGCTTGTTATAAGCATATGTATTAATACTCCAGGATTTCAGAATTTGCTGGGGGCAGTGCGGTGGCAGAATGGGAACTGAAAATAGTACCACAGTGCTGAGAAATGAAAATGTCTTCCACCCTACAAGTTTCCCTTCTCAGTACCCTTTCATTCAAGCCACATGGACTTATTAAGTTCCTCTGTGTGTCCAGCACAGTGCCAGGTCCTTAAGATACAAAACTAGTATCAGTGAGATCATATGATACACTGATATGAGGAATTCTTAATCTCAGGAAACAAACTGAAGGTTGCTGGAGTGGTGGGGGGGTGGGAGGGATGGGGTGGCTGGGTGATGGACATTGGGGAGGTTATGTCCTATGGTGAGCGCTGTGAATTGTGTAGGACTGTTGAATCACAGATCTGTACCTCTGAAACAAATAATACATTATATCTTAAAAAAAAGAAGAAG